CCCAGGACCCTGGGATCATGACCTGAGCCGAGGGCAGACGCTTAACGACTGAGCCACCCAGGTGCCCCCCCCAAAATTTTTTTGAGACAACATTTAAAAATCTGGAAATTTCACATTCACATCTGAATTTGGGGCTTTCTTTGGAAAAATTGGATGATTGGCATCACTGGGTCTACATTCTGGCAGGTCTCCACTGGCCCTGTAGATGGGACATGGGCTCTCCAGCTCAGCACAGGGCCACCCCCAGGACTGGCCTCCCCTCCCTGCCAGGAGCCCCAGGCACTGACACAGCAACCCCACCTGGCCTCTGTCTTCCCGCCTCCTCTCTCTAGGTTAGAGGGCAAGAAGGGCGATTGACGTTGGGGTATTTACTTTGAGTCTCTTTCCTAAATTCTGAGTCACTGGAAATAAATCATGCCTGGTCCTGAGAGTCCCACCTGCTTGGGCCTGGTCTGATTTGGCCTCATCTCATCAAGCCAGACCTATTCTGAGTGGGCTTCGCATGCCAAGGCCTGGGGCACATGTAGCCTCTCAGCCTCTTGTTTCAATTTGCCCCAGGGGCCAGGCAGAGAGAAGCAGGGCAGGGTGGGGTTCTGCCAGGGAACCCCCAGCAGCTCGCCTTGGCTACCCAGGCAGGACCCAGGGAGCCCGGGATTCCCTGGGACAGAACTGGCCACGGGCCTCCGTGATTCCCGCCGCGCGGGAGGCGGAGGCGAGCAGCTCCTCGCTGGGGTGGCGCTGGCTGCCTTCCAGGCCACAAGAGGCTGAAATTCCCCTGAAACTGAGAGCTAGCGACACAGAAACAAACCAACATGCTCCACCCAGGAGGCATTTCCAGAAATTGGGGCCCTGGCTTCTTGCTGATGAAATGCCAGATTATCCCGGGCCTCTCTTTGAGGCAGGGAGGTAGGGAGTGCATTGAGCAATAGGTGTTTTGTTTTGCAGATGACAAGATTTTCAACACTGAGAAGTTTAAATGATAAATACAAGAACCTTGACCAGCTCCCCACCCCTACCCTCGAAATGGCTGTTTTGAGCTTCAGTGCCTGGCAAATTTGTTTTCCACAACCTTCAGCTTCTCTGGGCCTCCCCCCAGCCCCAGCCACCTCAGGTCCCTGGTGCAGGAAGACCCTGGCAGGGCTCCCACCTGCTACCCGGCCACGAGAAAAGATGTCTTCGAAAGCACAAGTTGGCAAACCATGGCACACAGGTTTTGTCAATAAAGTTTTATTGGCAATACAGCCGCGCTCGTTAGCATTGGTCGCGGCAGCTTTTGTACCAGATTGGGTTGTTGCCACTGAGGCCACCTGGCTCACAAAGTGTAAAGTGTCTACTATAGGACCCTTGAAGGAAGCGTTAGCCAGCCCCTGCTCAGGAGGAACTGAAGCCTGCCTTATGCCAGGGAGGGTGGGGTCAAGTCCTAGTTTGGAAGGGCATCAAGGACTGGGAAAGCTCAGAGTATATCTCAGGGAAAATGAAGGCAGGGAAAGCACTGGTGTCCTGAAGGGAGACTGAGGGCTCAAGTAAACCAGCCCCCAAAGGTAGACCTGAGCAGCCAGGTTTGCAAACTGACCTGTGGCAGGTCAGTAAATTACTAGGAGGCTAAATCACTGTTTCTCCCCCCATGGTGGAGAAACACAGACCCACAGCCGGGAAGTTCCAGAGCTCACCACCTGCTCATGTGCGATCATTCAACAGGGGTGGGCCGAGCCTGCTTCTGTTGGCAGGCTCTCCTGTTTGTGGTGCTCAGAGCACACAAGGCGCTAGGGGCTCCCATTCTGGGGGGTGAGGAGCAGGGAGACAAAATGCACAGTAGGGAGTGGGAAGATGGGCAAAATGGGTGAAGGGGAGTGGGAGATACAGGCCGCCAGTTATGGAATGGGTAAGTCCCGGGGCTGAAAGGCACAGCACAGGGAGTGCAGGGTTGGTATTGCAATAGTGTGATCTGGTGCCAGGTGGTAGCCACACTGTGGGGAGCAGGGCATAAAGTATAACGGAGAGATTGAATCACTGTGTTGTACCCCGGCAGCTACTGTAACATTGTGTGTCCACTGTACTTCGATAAACACACACACACGAAACAATAAACCAAAAAATGAAATTAGATCACTGTATGTAATACGCAGAATGAATGGGGCCAGGAGGTGTTTGTAGGGGAAGCACAGAGCTCAGAAGGATGAGAGGGGCTGTGAGCAGATAGAACAACTTGAGGGATTGAGAAAAGGCAGGCTGGTGAGGCTGGGCAGTGACCAAGTGGAGGAATGGAGGCAGAGACCCCAAGGCTGGCTTCATCCTATCCTCGTCCCTAAGCTACGTTCCCTGTGAAACAAGAGTGGGCTTCTCCAAAGCAGCTGATCGGCGACAGAGTTGCTCATCACTGGAGGGAGAAGATGGACGGGCACACCTCCCCCTCCTTGCATTTCCCAACAGCCCTGTGGCTGAGAGAGACCCTTGCGCACAAAGTAGGCTCCGGGAAGAGGGGCCTTCCGCTCACATTGACATGATTTTCGGTTTGGGTGTGAATCACAGACAGTGAGGCCGGGGCCCTTGGCTCAGGATTTCCTGGTGTTTCCTGCCCGGGAGAACAAACAGTCTTGCTATCAGGGGCAGCAGCCCACCACTCCCTGACGTCAACTCTCCTTCCAATGAATGCGTTTCCTTTTCCGTTTGGGAAGACCTGGTATCTGTCATCAGTCCCATCAACTCTGCCATTCTAACCCTGGCACCTCCTGTTCGGGAAGGAGCCAGTGAGATTAACCAGAAGGCAGTGGGTGAGGGCAGGAGGGCGGGGGCGGGGCTCAGCGAATGGGCTTTCAAGCCACCGGGGAGTCTCAGGGGGCAAGTGCCTTCTGGTCCGGGGTCATCAAGGTGTGAGTGGAGGTGTGAGTGGAGAGCCCAGCAGCAGTAGTGGTGTCTGCCCTAACCGCCGGCCCTCCAAGCCGCTTGGGGCACTCCCACGCCTCCTCTCTGGACCACCTGTGGCACCTGAGAGTGTCTTACCTCCTCTGCTTGTTCCCACGAACCCGCCCAGATGAGATCTCTTGGTGGAAAGTGTTTATGTTGTCATCGTGTAAAAAAAAAAAAAAAAAGATTGCTCAATTTCTGAAAACCATTATTTAAAATTTTTGCAACTTCTCAATGTGCACGTCTTAGGGCAAAGTCATGGTTGCCTTGTTCTGGTTGTACCTCTGACAGTTTCAAACTAGCCATGAAGGCCAGAGGCTCTAGCTGTGTGGCTTCAGAAGTGACTGGGTCATTGCTTGCTGCTTATACGTAATGCAAATACTAGTTTAACTTACCATGCTGTAATAACACCGTGTGTTAGTCCGATTTATTTTATTTTATTTTAAAGATTTTATTTATTTATTAGAGAGAGAGTGTGAGCGGGAGCATGAGCAGGGTAGGAGCAGAGGGAGAGGGAGAAGCAGACCCCTTGCTGAGCAGGAAGCCCAATGGACAGACAGACAGACCACTTGGGGCTCGATCCAGGGACTCCAGGATTATGACCCCAGCTGAAGGCAGACGCTTAACCGACTGAGCCACCCTGGTGCCCCAGTACAATTTATTTTAGATCAGAAATTCCCAATGGGACAGTACTGTGGTTGTTTGTCTCACTTAATACCTTACCCAGCAATCACCACCTAGAAAAAGAAACTGCCAGTTCTTTTCAGGATGGGTAGGATGCTCCTGTGGTCACCACTGAGCATCATGGTGCAGGCATTCAGCAACTTGACTCTGCAACCACCCCGTGTCCCAAGAGCTGTGCAAAAACAGAATCATGCAATGGATGGTCTCATTCTAGTTACTGGAAATTAGGAAATTTGATGATTCACCACTTCTAACTCGGAAGAGTTGAATCAAATTCCACCTTGTGTTTGTAACACTATCTAAACGTAAAGGAAAAACAATCTGAAATGCTTGTTGCTTGTAAACTACTTGGAAATTCTTGAATAGCACCAAATAGCCAATGTTAGCATTTTGGTGTATTTACTTTCAGTCTGTCTGTACACAATACTCCCTCCAATTTTTAATTTTCCCAATGAGATAAGCTCTATACTACTCTTTGGAAATCTGGATTTTACACTTCACGTCATTAAACGTTCTTTTGGGACATAATTCTTTATGGATGTAGGGTCTACCAACATAGTGATGCACCGTTATTTATTTCACTATTTCACCAACTTCCCCACTGTTGATTGCTTCCACTTTTTTTTTTGGTTATTGTTAAATATTTTATTTATTTATTTGACAGAGAGAGAGAGAGAGATAGGCACAAGCAGGGGCTGCGGCAGAGGGAGAGGGAGAAGCAGGCCCTTCACGGAGCAGGGAGCGCGATGCGGGGCTCAATCCCGGGACCATGCGATCGTGACCCGAGTGGAAGGCAGACGCTTCACTGACTGAGCCCCTCAGGCGCCCCTGCTTCCACCTTTTTGATATCACGAACAATGCCAAGATGAACATTCTTGCAGGGCGCGTGTAACTGACTTCCTTGGGATACCTGAGTGAACGTGGAATGCGGAATGTTTTGCATTCCTTGAGCCCTCACAACACCCCTCTGGGACAGAACAAGTAGGATGTGACGACCTCCCACCGCTCTACCGGTTCCCCAGTCTCAGTCCGTGTGGGTCGGCCAAGGAACTCCATGTTTCGGATCAGAGTCATGCCCCACCCCCCACCCCGCCCTCAGGACCCTGCAACGTCTTCCTTTCAAAGATCAGCTACAGGAGGTGCTCCCGGCCCCACGGACGCGCGGTCCTCGGCTCGCAGAACCGTACGCTCCGTGGCCTGCCCCGCGCACCTGCCCGCGAGCTTCGGTGCTGGGCGTGACCCGGTGGGCGCGAGGCCAGCCGGCTTAGGAGGGTGGAGGTGGGGGAGTGGGACTGAGGAAGCTCCGCTCGCTGCGCCTGCGCCCCGCGCGCCGCCCGCACACCTGCGCCCGCCCCGCCCCCTCCCCGTGTCCGCGAGCGCCGCTGTCAATAAAGTTCTTGCGCGCCGGAAGCGGAAGCGCCGAGTCTCCATGGCGGCGGCGGCGGCGGCGGCGGCGGGGCCGGTGCTCTGGAGGCGGCTGCTGGGCCTGCTGCCTGGCCGCCCGGGGCTGGCCGCTCTCCTAGGGCGCCTGTCCGACCGCCTGGGCAGGAACCGGGACCGCCGGCGCAGGAGGTGAGAGGCGGCCGGGCCTGCCGGGGCGGGGGCGCGGCCGCGGCCGCAGCCCTGCCTCCCTTCCGCGCCGGGAGTGCGCTCACGCGGGGGGCGGGCGGGGCGGGAACTGAGCGCGGGCTCCCCGGGTCCCCCGGCGGCGGGCGTTGGAGGGTCTGTGGCGGGAGACGCCGCTAGCGTTCCGAGAGGAGATCTTTTCCTTGCCGGTCCTGGCAGCCGGGGGGCTCGGCCGGGGTGAATGAGCCCGGCCGGGATCGTGTGCGTGTAGGGCTTCGCACATCCTGCGGGAGAGGGCTGTGAAGCAATCCTGAGTCAGGGACTCTCAGGCCAGGGAAGAGGAGCCACTCGGAACCCCCTTCACACTTTTCAAAGGGCCTGTGTTCTGGAAAAGTACTGAAATGAGTTATGTAAGTGGTGGAGGAGGCTTTGAAGCAGTTTGTTCAGGCAGTGGTCTTTCAGAGTCAACATTTGCCAAGAACATGCTGACCTAAGAGGCCTGTTGTTATTGCTAATGTTACAGGAAAAAAAAGAAAAAAGATTTCTTGTGTGCAAATGGTTTTCTTATCAGAGAGACTCAAGCCTTACACTTGACCCTTTAAAAGAAAAAAAAAATATCAGATCTTAGATGTGCATCCTTTAGAAGAGTTTGCATTATGTTAGATTTTATCTGTGCTACTTGGGTGAGGTGGGACCTCCTGGCTTTCGTGCACAGATCTGTGGTCCAGTCATGTGTGCTGTTTCTACTTATGGGAAGGAACTTGCTTCATACTGGGTTACAGTGGATGATTTTCAGCAAAAATTCGACTTTGGTTCAGGGTAACTTTTAGGTGATAGCATCCGTATGGAGCCCTTCAGAAGCTTGCTGATCAGAATGGCATTAAGTTTCACGCCAGCGAAACCCGGTGGGGGCGGGGCCGGGGAAGAGGTGGCCTCTGCGTTTTCTGTAGTTGGTGCTTAGCCAAGACCTGGCTGTTGTAGTGGGTGGTGAAATCACATGACTTCTACATCTTGGCATCAAACCACTGGGAAATTTGGTTTAACGTTTCAAGAAATGTTCTCTCCTCAAAGATGATGTGTTCAGGCAATTTTGTCATTTCCCTGTATGTGTTTAAACGACAAAAACCACTTCATTGTTAATTGTTTACCATTGGAATTAACTGCTAAGGGATGTTGGGGCAATCTCCACAAATTCTTTTGAAAAAGACGTTTCTCTTGAGTGTCTTTTTCCGGTGGTGGGGGGCGAGGAGCAGTGTGGCAGTGGGAGTAGTGTAAACTGCCTCTCCAAAGTCCTTTTTTGTAAATGGCTGCGGTAGGTGTGGCACCGTATTTCTTTTTGATGAAGCTGAGAGAGAGTTGTATCTCTGGGTCAAAAATTAAACCAGAAACTCACTTAAACACAAGTTTTGTGTTTTGTTTTATTTGTTTATTTTTAATTTAAATTCAATTAGCCCAACATATAGTACATCATTAGTTTTTGATGTAGTGTTCATTGATTCATTAGTTGCGTATAACACCCATTGCTCATCACATCACGTGTCCTCCTTAATGCCCTTCATCCATTTACCCCATCCCCCCAGCCACCAAGTTTTGTGTTTTATTTATTTATTTATTTATTTAATTTTTAAAAAAATTATTTATTTATTTGACAGAGAGAGACACAGCGAGAGAGGGAACACAAGCAGGGGGAGTGGGAGAGGGAGAAGCAGGCCTCCCACGGAGCAGGGAGCCCGATGAAGGGCTCGATCCCAGGACCCTGGGATCATGACCTGAGCCGAAGGCAGACGCTTAACGACTGAGCCACCCAGGCGCCCCAAGTTTTGTGTTTTAAAGAAATCTGTGGGCGTCTGGGTGGCTCAGTCAAACTTCTGCCTTTGGCTCAGGTCATGATTCCAGGGTCCTGGGATTTTGCCCTTGGACTGTGCTTTTCCCTCTACCCCTCCCTCCCCTGCTCATGTTCTCTCACTCTCTCAAAAATAAATAAAATCTGAAAAAAAAAATTTGTGTTTTATAATCCTTAGAATGGTTTGCTAGGACTGAAGATAAGTGCTTTGACCAGTGCTGTTACAACGCTGTAGCTTTCTGACCTTTTTTTTCCCCCCCTCCCTCTTGCCTTATTCGGTTATTCGGTCTGCAGATTTACCCGACTCTGTGGCTTGGTGTTTGGGGTTTCTCTGGTCTGTATGGCCATTCATCCTATATTGGCTGCTCACTTTCGTTTCTCCTCCATTAGTTGTACCTCACAACTCCTCATTCCCCGAATGGTGTGGTTTCTTGTAACTCTGATTGTTGATGATAGTTCTGTGTAGTCATGAGCTTAGACTTTGTCAGATTTTAGCTTGCCAATCTGACTCACCTGTTGGAGTACCTGATGAACCCTCGTGGCTAACGAGAGGGGTGGAGAGAGGGTACTTTCATTGCAGTGGTTTCTTTGTTAGTTACAGAGACAGCCACAGTGACAGAGAATGCTACTTAAAATTGCTTCCAATTAGTGATCTAGAAATGCTGTTGTTTTTCTCTTGAGCAGGCATCTGACTCATTATCGCTATGGACGTCTGGGCTCATTCCCTTATTCAGCATGCGTGTGTAGAGCACTGCTGTGCTGGGTACCGAGGAAGCAAAGATAAAGACCTCGCCGCATCTTCAAGATGCTCAGACCCATAAGCTGACAGTAATAGTAAGGTAAGGTAGAAGGTCATGGCATGCTGAGAGGCACAGCAGGAGGTCACAGAAGGCTTCCTGGTGGGGGTGATCTCAGAGCTGTGTTTTGGAGTGTAGGAGTACGCTGGGTAAAGAAGGGGAGCTGGTGTTCAGGGAAGGGTGGTGAGTGGTGTGGGCTGATGATTGTGGCAGCAAAGGTGGAAGGCAGTTCTGAGGTGCTGCAGGTACTCAAGTCATTTCCAGGAGCCAACTGGGGCTACTGAGCCAAGGGAGGAGCCGGGAGCAAGTTTGTCCTCTGGGCTGAGACCCAGGGAGGCAAGCTCTGAGATTGCTTGTTCAGTTTCCTTTGATGGTGGTCTAGGCCTGAGGTATTGCAGAGTGGAAGGGATTAGAGTTAGCTCTGGTGGGGGACGTGTAGGGGGACTTGGGTGACTGCATGGGTGGAATCACACATCATTACAACAGGGTTAAGAAAGGACTGGGCTTGGGGGGGGGTGACGATAAGGTGAGTTTGGGCGTGTTAACTAGGATCCAGGTGCCTCTGAGTAGAGGTGTCAGTGTGTAGCTGACCGACAGATCTGGAGCTCGGGATGGGGAGACAGCACCGTGAGGTGGTGTTTAGGAGTTCTCAGACTCCACGGAATTGACTCATTTGGAGTAGATGGGACTGAGTGGGGAAATATGTCAGGAGGGCAGGAGTTCCTAATCTTGAGCTTGCCTGCCCTAGAAGGAAGTATTTTCTTTGTGGCCTCCTCTAAAAAACCCAAACAAATGATTTTCAGCTTGAGCTATATGTGCAGAAAGGGCTTTATTATTGAAACTCAAGTCCTATTTTCTCTTCGAGGCGTGTGTGTGTGTGAGTGTGTGAATGAGTCAGTGAGTGTGAAGGGGTGAGGGGCTTCTAATTTCCCTGAGTTATAAGAGGGAGACACAACCAGAAGACTGTTCTTTCAGTTAGATATCTGATGTCATAGTGGCAGGTCGGCATACTCCAGTTCAGCTTGTTAGTAGTTTCCGCTCTGAGGGACCACATTTCCAGAAATTACTTCTTTGAACTTTGTGATGCTTCTTACTTGTTATAGTTTAGTAGAGCCATCTCTTGGCTTATTTATAGTAGTAGAATGGGTGGGAGGGGGATATTTAGAATCAAAGCATAATTTCCCCAAATAATTCAAATTTGATCTTGCAGGGATTGGAATAAGATTAACAACAGACAGGGCGCCTGGGTGGCTCAGTCAGTTAAGCGACTGCCTTCAGCCCGGGTCATGATCCCAGGGTCCTGGGATAGAGTCCCACATCGGGCTCCTTGCTCAGCAGGGAGCCTGCTTCTCCCTCTCTCTCCCTCTGCTTGTGCTCTCTCTGTCAAATAAATAAAATCTTAAAAAAAAAAAAAGATTTACAACAGACAGAGTTTTAAATTGTAGCTTTATTTTATTTTTTTAAAGATTTTATTTATTTGATAGAGAGTGAGAGTGCATGCACAGGCAGGGGGGTGGCAGGCAGAGGGAGAAGCAGGCTCCCCGCTGAGCAGGGAGTCCGAGGCGGGACTGGATCGCAGGGTCCTGGGATCATGACCTGAGCCAAAGGCAGATGCTTCACCAACTGAGCCACCCGGCACCCCAAATTGTAGCTTTATTGAGTTCATATTAACATGAGTACCCCCTGAACACATTGCGTCTGGTGATTAATTAGGCTGGGTCAGTCAGTTGTGTGCTCCTAGAGAGATAGCAGCTAGCCTGGGATTAAAGTGTTCGGATAGATAATCCACTTGTAAACATGTGATCTGATTCACATAAACGAGTTCTTTTCAAGGCCCCTGGGAAGTACGGTGGGTCAAAGCCTTTGGATTAGTAGAAAGTGTGATTGGTTCTCATCAGGCACTTTGCTTTGCCTGCTGCTTGGGCCACCTGAGGTGTATTGTGGGTTATGTTAGCTTTCTGGCCCCTGGATGTGATCGACTTCCTTTTGGGCAAGTCAAGAGGACAGTCGTCTGGTCAGCATGTAGTCAGATGGCCTCCCATGCTGGACTTCTTGTGGGAGTTCAGCGGGCGGTTGGTCTTTTGTAACCTACGGGAATTCACACTCACTTCCCTTTCTTGGACTTGGTGTTGCGTTAGTCAGGAAGGGCCGCCTGCTGCCGGGGACGCAGGAAGTATGGTGCATTCACGTAGTTTGTTGAGCTCTTCTCAGGAAGTGCTGTGACTGTTACTCTTTTCTCCTTAGCTCACTTTCTGATGTTTAAATGTTCATGACTGAGCAGGGAGGGTGGGTTTTTCTTAAAAAGTAGTTTCTGAAAATATTGCAGTCCACAGAACTTAGTTTCTTTTAAGAACTTCTTTTTTCATCGTTTTGTACAGAGTTGGGTGGGACCCAAGCCACAGAGCTTGTACCACGAATTTTATCTTATAGTTCCAGAAGAGCTCATAGATTCAGAGCATGACGGAGCCCATAGCGGGGGCCACTTAGTTAATGCCCCGGGTACGGTACTGGACAGAGGGTAGAGCTTCAGTACTGTCTGTTCAGGATTTTTGCTTCGTGTAGGAAGATGGTCCTCCCACATCGCTGTGTTCTTTGTTCAGAGCCCAAGGTGCCACCTTTTGAAAAGACCCTAAGAGGTTGGCCAGCTTGCTTTTTTTTTCCCCACTGGGTGGTGGGTGACACTCTGCGGCCCCTGGGGATCAGACCTGTGTCCTCTGAGGGGGAGAGGCCTTGGAGGGGATATGTAAAGGTAAAGTGTAGACCTGGGTGTAATTATCTAGTATTTGCCTTTCCATTTCTTCTTCCTTTTTTTTTTTTCTTTTTTTGAGAGGGGGGTGGGGAGTAGGTAGACGAAGAGAGAGAGAGGATCTTAAGCATGCTCCACACGCAGCACGGAGCCTGACAGGGGGCTTGATCTCACCAACCTGAGATCATGACCTGAGCTGAAATCAGGTGTCAGATGCTTAACTGAGTGAGCCACCCAGGCGCCCCTGCCTTTCTTTATTGGCATCTTGCCACTGGCCACAGAGCTTGGTTGGACCTCCAGGCACATTGTTGCACATCCAGACAAAGGAAAAATGCAAGGTGTGCCAGTATTTTTCCATGGAGCACACGCAGCTTCAAGATGTTTGGTGAAATGGAAAACTCCTATCTCCCCACAAAAAAGGAGAAATACCTTCTTTCCCCTGAGGCTCCCTGTGTCAATAGCTGTGTTTGGTTGTGTCTCAGTGGCTCTTTTGCTCTGTTTCCAAGTGACTGATTATTCTGAACTCAAGTCCCACTGCCTTCCCATGCCTGGCAGGAGGGGTGGGCTGCTCTGCCCCACCTAGGACTGCCCTGGGGGTCAGGTAGGCTTCCACTGTCTTCACTTAGTGGTGGCCCCCCATCCAGGGGCTCAGGGACAGGAGTGTCCTTAGTCAAGGCAGTTCAGATGTGGATTTCTCTCGGAGATGGTGGGAAGAAACTTCCCTCCCCTCCGTGCCTCCCTCCCTCACGCTCCTTCTGCCATCCTAGAGTCACCCTGAAGCCTTCCCATCACCCCGTCCGCACAGGTCTCTCCCTGGGTAGAGGAAGGGCCCCAGGCCAGGGGTCTCCAGCACTTAGACCCAGCCTGCTCCCCAGTGCAGGGATTTTGCAGATTCCACGGGAAGCCTTAAATCCTGTGGCTGAACTTCAGAGTCAGGTGTCCCATGGGCGGCCGAAGCCTGCCCTCACAGAGGTTAGAACTGTCGGCTGGGGACCGGTTTGCATTGTTTGCCGTTGCCGCCTCTGCCACCGGCTGGCCTGAGCGTCCCTGTGTGCCTGCCCTGGCCCTGTTCTCCAAACTTCCATGATATTCCTGAGTCGGCAGAAGCTATTATCGGGACCCCTACCCCCCACCACTTCCTCTTCTTTGTAACTAGAAACGGGAGCTGGACGGTCCTAGAAAGATGATTCAGGGGAGTCCAGGTCTAGATGTGGAAATTGTGTGTGTGTGTGTGCCGGTTTAGTTCTCTGAATGGCATGTGTGACACGGCTCTGCTTTTTTGGTGAAGTAACCACAGCTCCTCAGATCTCTCAGGGCTTCGGTTCCTGACCTGGGACGTGTGGTTTCTTAGTAAGCCTCCCTGGGGTGAGGGGACTTGCCTGTGCAGGTGGTCGCCCCTGGAGACTGGGGCGACTGTGCGGTGGGGTTGCTGCTAGCACCGGGAGCAACCTTTTCTGGGAAGATTCCCAGGAGTTAGGTTGTGGAAAGCAGGAACTAACCCCCCATGGACTTCTGGCTGAGGCAAAAGGAGCAAAAATGAGCCCCTGAGCAGACTTGGGCTTGGCTGCTTCTGCCCCGGCTGAGGCACTCCAGTTAGATTTTGAGTGTCACCCTTCCAGGTGTGGTCTCCCCCATGCCCGTGCTGTCACTGGGGGGACCTTCATAAAACACTCTGCTCCTTCTCAGAGCGCCTTCCTCTTCGGGTGTCTAAAACTGCCACTCAGGGTTGGGTCTCCCCCTCCACGACTCCCTGCACCTAATTGTCTTTCAGCACCTTCTCCTCTCTAGCAAAAATAAACCTGTCAGTACACAGATGAAACAGGAAGCCAACATAAAAAAGCCCTCAACAAATCTTGGACGGAGGCCCTGGTGGAGCATTCCCAGGGAGAGCTGCCTGGCAGGGATGAGGCCTGCCCATGGCCGCCTGGGGCCCTGAGCCCTGCCCGCCGCAGCCTGCCCGGTGCCTCTCCAGGGCAGGCCCGGGCTGACGGTGGGCCCTGGGTCCGTGTGTCCTCCGGACTGGCTGTGGAGACCCTCCTGGGCTTTCCCGTGGATGGTGGTGCTCGCCAGTGCCCATGGCTTACACTTGCTCAGGCCCCTCCTTGCCTGGAGCAGCCCCTCCGCTCGCCCTGCCTCACCGCTCCAGGGGGGGTGTCCTCAGGCCTCCCCGGCTGCTCGGTGCCGCCAGCTCCCCTTTCCTGTCACTTGAAGCACACGTGCTGCACATTTCGACCTTTTAGTTCGTGGTGGCATTTTCCTCTTGTGTCGTTCTTAGATGGTTTCAGGTGTATAAGCCTGTGAGGTCACCAGGTTCGTGGGGGGCCGGGCTGCTCTTCCCTTGTGCCCCCCACAGGACGGAACAGTGCTCACAAGATGCCTGGGGTCGCGGCCCAAGCTGGCACTTGCCCTCTCTGGGTCACTGTGTGCCGAGGATGTGTCTCCGCAGCTTCCTTTTGGGGAGCCCATTGGAGTCTCCTGGCCCAGGGGAAGGATGCGGGACTGACGGCGTGGTGGTGGGGGGGGTGTGGGGTTTTAGCGGTCGCCCTGGTTCTTTTTCATATGGGCTGAGAGAGGTAAGTGCCGTGAGGCTGGGAGATCCGTTGGTGTGGCGCTGCTATGGGGTTTTCCACCTCAAATAGACCATGTTTAATTAATGAATATTAGACTTTAAGCCCCCTCTGGGGCTTCAGATTGATAGAGTGTTGTGCAGACTTTCCCATTGTCTTGTGGTTTTCCATTGGACTGAAGGATCTTTCCCTCTCCTCCTGGAAGTTAGCTTTGAGCACAGCAGGAATAAGGCCTACAGTTTGGGAAATCGAGGCAGCAATCCCTAGTTTACCCGTCTAAGCCTTTCATTTGCAAGCTGCTGCTCATCGCCTGGAAGCCAGAGAACCTTAGCAAGCTGGTCCCCCCAAGTGCCATCACCCCCTCTCTGAAACAGCGAGAAAGCATAGCTGCTCTACCCGCTCTGCACCGTGGGGCCCCAGGCCAGCCCCCGGCTTCCCGGGGTCTAGAGAGCCACCACCTTCAACTGTTGACTAAAGTTTTCTTGGCAGTGAGTTGGCTGGGACAGACCAGTGGGCTTTCTGGGAAGCACAGCTGTGGGCCATCTGGCGTCTGTGTAGGGACGTTTGCGGGGCCCTGGGAAGATTCTGCGCTTGATCATGAGGCAAGTGAATGAAGTCATCTTCCTGGAATCTGTGACCCTTCAGGCCTTGGGGTGTTCAAGCGCCCTTTCCCCAGAGTCCCTCTCTGAGCTGCAGTAGAAGGGCACGCACTGCAGAGGATTTTCCTGCTGCTGTTTGCAGGAACTGAGAATAGGGCCAGGCTTGTGTGGGGCTCTGGGTGTGTTGCCCCTCCCTGGGCCCACGGAATGGGGGGTGGCAGCCGGCGGGCAGCAGACATGTGGTTCCACGGGCAGGACCTTGGTTGCTGCTGTCTCTGTCTGAGTGGAGTGGAGCCGGCCGTGGGGGGCGAGGGGTGCAGCTTTATGGGGCGCGAGCCCCAAGGACGACGTGTCCAGGGCTGAGGGGGCAATTCTCGCCACTGCCGAGATGGTCCCCCCTTCCCCCAGGCTCTTCTTCCTCCAGTTCTTCTCTCCACAGCCGAGTATTCAAGAGAAAACTTGGTTTTTCTGGGTCCTTCCCTAAATAAAAGTCTCGTTTATCTCCGCAGCCCTGCAGCTGGGGGCCAGGGTTGCAATGGTCACCCTCATTCCAGACTCGCCCTGGCTCCAGGTGGCCGCCAGTGGCTTTCTGCAGGCCGATTTGGTGCGGCACCCCGGTGTTAACCCATGCGGTGGCTTCTGTGAGTTTACTTGTGGCTGCTCTAGATTTGGAGCTGTTTGGAGCCAACTGCAAGTTGGGGTTCAGCTATAGGCATTGGCACTTCTCAAGTTGCTCAACTAGTAGGGGCTGAAGGAAAAGCCCTTTTGCAGAGTTTGACTTGGGCTTACTTAAAATGGTCTAGAGAATCTGAAATTCGTTAAAAAAAAAAATTCCCGTTCCCCTCCGTCCCCCCACCGGAGCTGAGAGAGACTTCTGTGGAAGTGTTGGAGAAGTATGACCCTTTGCGTGTCTCTTTAACCAGGTCACCATGGCTGCTGTTGGCTCCTTTGCTGTCCCCGACTGTCCCCCAGATCACCTCCCCTCCTTGTTGCCTGTGTCCAGAGGGTGTGCACAGGTTCCAGTGGATCCGAAACCTGGTCCCAGAGTTCGGGGTCTCCAGCTCCCACGTCAGGGTGCTTTCTTCCCCGGCAGAGTTTTTTGAGCTCATGAAGGTAAGTTGTGTCCACGGGAGAGAGGGATGGATGCTAGAGTTAGAGGCTTGGGGGCCTGAGGCTGGGTGAGTCCTGAGCAGAAGTGCCTTCTGTTCTGGAAGTTTCCGATGGCTGCTCGGCTTCTTGCTGTGGGTTCTTCTCCCTGTTAGGTTTCTAGCCTCACAAATGCTTGAGTTGTGCCGTCATCAGAGGCTCCCCTGCATGGCTAACGTCTCAGGTAGAGTAGCTCAGAGTGGGTGGGCAGTGAGGGGCAGCTCCTAAATTTTGATTCTTATGGACAGATGGTTCCGTCGGTTCCATCAGAAGGGAGGTTAGTAAGGGCGTGTGGGCGTCCCTGCTGACGATGTCTGGGGAGAAAGGAACCTTACTCTAGTCACAGCATGACAGACCCCTGCCCCTGCAAACATCTCCAACGTAGCGGTTTCATCTTGGGAGGCAGGGCATATGGGGAATGAAGACCCAGCTCTGACCCGTGGATGAGATTTGATGGGTAGGAAGTGGTTGAATTCTCTTGTTCGGTGAAGAGGCTTTACGGATCACTGGAAAAGTTGGACACCTGGTTTTAGGCCTTATCCCTATTCTTTCCTGTGCCTTTGTCTAAAGTTTGTGCCTTCTCTGAGATGCTCACCTTTGCATTTGGGGGTTGAGCTTTCAGTACTCAGGTGTTTGTGGCCCATCTAGTTACTTGAGGTGAAACTGCTAATTGGAATAAGTAATTTGAAGCTGATTAATTTTTTTTTTTAAGATTTTATTCATTTATTTGGCAGAGAGACACAGCGAGAGAGGGAACACAAGCAGGGGGAGCGGGAGAGGGAGAAGCAGGCTTCCTGCGGAGCCAGGAGCCCAATGCGGGGCTCGATCCCAGGACGCCGGGATCGTGACCTGAGCCAAAGGCAGCCGCTCAACCAACTGAGCCACCCAGGCGCCCCAGCTGATTAATTTTTTTAAAAAATATTTTTATTTATTTATTTGACAGAGACACAGTGAGAGAGGGAACACAAGCAGGGGGAGTGGGAGAGGGAGAAGCAGGCTTCCTGCAGAGCAGGATCCCAGGACTCTGGGATCATGACCTGAGCAGAAGGCAGATGCTTAACCGACTGAGCCACCCAGGCGCCCCGAAGCTGTTTAATTTTTGTTAACATGAACCTTGTGGGTTCAAATTAGCAATGATGTTTGAATTAAGGTATGATGAGGTCAGACAGGCAGATGGTGGTAGATAATAGGAAATACATGTAGAGATTAATTTTTCCGCAGAATGAACTGTACTGGACTTGAATACTTGTACATTCTCCTTTTGCCCTGTTGTTCTGTAGATCCACACTTAGCTTAATTTCTCACTGGCTCTTTCCAGAATGCATTCTGCATGTGTGTGTTTGTGTCTGTCTGTTTACGTGTTCTTCCCACTTCCCTGCACTGCTCATCTGTCCTGTGCATCTTTTTTGTGGAGAACTGATGTTAAAGTGGTTTGCTCTTTGCTCCTACTTGGTTCTCGGTTTGGCTTGAAGAAACAGGTTTTGCAGAGGCAGTTCTTTGTGTTCTAGTCAACTCCGGGTGAAGGACTGGCTGAGTCTCTGCGTGGCCATCCCCGTCTGCGAACCTGCCTGGGTGGGGCGGTGGAGGCAGGAAGGGCCCCAGGGTTTGGCCCAGCAGGCTGGGAGGAAGCCCTTCTCTCTTGCACTTTGAACTGAGTCCCGGGCAGATTCTGACGCAGGGATGGCGCTGAGTGGGATATGTGTCTTCCCCGGGCCCACAGAGCAGCCTTGTTCCCTGAGAGGGGAGTGCAGCCTGTCGTCTGCCTGGCCTGCGAGCCCTCGTTGCAGTGCCTGAGCCGAGGTGCCTTTCCCAGAGTCACTGTTGGCTCTGTGTGATGGCGTTCCCTGCAGGCATCCGCTTCCCAAATAACCCAACAGAGGAGATGGTGGACTTGGGACATTCTCTTGTGCTTTCCTGGTCTGCAGGCCTTGTGCCAGTGTGTTGGTGTGTTTCTGTGTCGGGGCGCCCCTCCTGTGCAGGCTGTGCGGGCTGTGGGTGCCGCATCCCTCCCGGGTCAGAAAGCAGGTGTGTGCCCTGCTTTCTGCCTCCCTCCTCCCTCGAGGCCTGGCCCTCCTGCCTCTCCTTCCAGAGCATGACCTTTGGCATGCTGCCCATCTTTCTCTGCCTGTCACCCCCTTTGGGGCAGGATGCTTCGAGCTCTGGAGGGTTTATCGTTCCCTACGCTGGAGCAGGTCTGGAGAGAGCACTCTGCCCGTTGGGACTGTGGTGACACAGTCATCTTGGAGTGCTGGTCTGTTCTGTCCTTGTGCCTGGGGACCCTTCTGCGTTTCAGAGGAAATATGTGCCCGCTCGTTGGGAAATCCAGCCATGTAGGTGTGGACGGGGGCAGAGCGGCCTGCACGTTGGCTCTCGCGCTCCCCTCCCCTCCTCTGCCCCTCAGGGACTGCGCTCTCGTGCCCTGCACGTGCCCCACGTGATGCCCCCGGGTGGTTTGCACCCGGGGCAGCGACTGCTTCCACCCCAGCAGTAGGCTGTGGAACACATGCCTCATTCTTTGGTGGCTGTGTCATGTCTCGTACAGTCGGGTCGTGTCTTTCAGGGGGGTATTTTTTTTTTTTTTTTATTTGACAGGAAGACACAGCGAGAGAGGGAACACAAGCAGGGGGAGTGGCAGAGGGAGAAGCAGGCTTCCCGCGGAGCAGGGAGCCCGACGCGGGGCTCGATCCCAGGACCCTGGGACCATGACCTGAGCCGAAGGCAGACGCTTAACTGAGCCACCCAGGGGACCCAGGGGGAGTATTTTAAATTAGGATCGCGGGTCCTTATTTGGGCGGTTACCATCAGCTTCAGATACCAGAAGTTGGGCCCGGAGCATTACTTGTTAGGTTTCCTCAGTGAACTGTGGAAGCCATGACTGTGACTTGTTTTTCTCTTTTAGGGCCAGATCAAGGTGGCCAAGAGACGCGTGGTGATGGCGTCGCTCTACCTGGGGACGGGTCCTTTGGAACAGGAACTGGTAAGGTTTGAGGTGGGGTGGTCCCCACGGCAGCAGTGAATCGCCCTGCACCCCCGGCCACACGGCGCCGTGGAGTTGGGGTCGAGCCGCCTTGTCTTGGCCCTCACCTCACAGCCGCCGCTGGGGGTCGGCCCCGTCAGGAGGGCCAGTGAGGGGTGCGGGGGGGTGGCGCTCATCCTTGCTCTCACGCCCTCCCCACCCTGCACCGGGGTTCCGAGGCTGCTGTGTCTGCCGGTCTAGGGCTCAGCAAACTACGGCCCGCTGCCTGTTTTTGTATGGTCTGTGGGTTAAGAATGGTTTTTGCGTTTTCAGATGACTGGAAAACAATCAAAAGGAGGAGAATATTTGTGATACAGGAAAAGCCTGTGAAATTCAAATTTCTGTATCCATAAGTAAAGCTTTATTGGAACACAGCCGTGCTTGCTCACAAATGTATTGTCTGCAACTGCTCGCTTGCCGCAAGGGCAGAACTGAGTAGTTGTGAGAGAGACCCTCTGGCCCCCAAGGCCCAGGATATTTGCTGCCTGCCTTTTGCAGAAAAGAGTTTCTGACCCTGTACTAGACAAATGAACTGAAGCGCAGGTCGGGCTGGGGTCAGGTGCCAGGTCTGTGGCCTGCCTGTTCCCCCTGGACTTGGTGTCACTCCACACTTGTCGCCTGTCGTGAGATGGGCAGGGTGGGAAGGAGCAGACGCCGCCGGTTTGCTTAGGGCGAGCTTCGTGCGGCGTGAGTCCAGTGCATGCTCTGGTGCGCGGGCGCTGTCTCTAGGCTGACTTAACATGAGTGTGGGCGAGACTCTTGGGATGGCTTTCCACTCTGAGGCTCTGAAATGGGCCTGAGTGTTTCTTGTCTGGACACCCATAGGTGGGAGCCAGGGATTGGGTGCAGAGAATGGTGGGAAGTGGGGGTCAGCAGAAGCACATCTGTCCTCTCCTTTCCCTCCTTGGCAGGGAGGTCTCCCTCTGTCTTCAGGACATGCTTTTAGCTGCAAGCTTGGGAAGCCTGTTTGTTCTTCTGGGAGAAGAATGTCATGTCCAGCTCATGGAGAGTGGCCAGTGGTCAGGTTGTGTCTTGGATTCATTGGTTCAGCAAATATTTACCGTGTGCTGTCCATGTGTAGGCACTGTTTGCTGTGTGTCTGTGGGGATTGTCTGTTGAAACGTGCGAGAGCTCGTGTCTTAGAGAGCCTTTCCAAGAGTGGCAAGGTCCAGACTGCTTGGGCATCATGTCTCTGACCCATACACCCTCTCTTCCTGAGAGGCCCGGCTGGACGAGGGTGCCAGGTGGCACCTTATGGTTACTGTTACTGGTCTCAGAAGAAGAAGTCTCATGGTGTTGACTCTTGAGTGCTCATGGTCCATATGTGTGTTCCAAGAGGATGTGGGGGGGGGGGCGGCGTTACCTGGCAAGTTGATCCTTTTTTTTTTTTTTTTTTTAAAGTAGGCTCCACACCCAGTGTGGAGCTCAATGTGGGGCTTGAACTCACAACCCTGAGATCAAGACCTGAGCTGACAACCAAGCCGACAACTGACTAAGCCACCCAGGCACCCCTTAATCTGTTCTTTTAATACATAATAATCTTTTTCAGTCTTATACTTCTGTTCTTTTGGGGTTCTTTCCTTGATAGGTGGATTGCCTGGAAAGCACTCTGGAAAAGTCACTCCAAGCCAGGTTCCCTTCAGACCTCAAGGTGTCCATCCTCTTGGACTTCACACGGGGCTCAAGAGGTGGGTCTGGTGCACTCCCTGCCTCTGACGTTTCCTTTTTCAGAGCCCTTGTTCAGGAGTACACCGCCCCCCCCCCCCCAGCAAAGGCAAGGATGTTTGAAGGTAGCCCCCAGACTGCTTGGGTTGTCCATCAGCATTCCTTCTGTCGCAAGTGACTGGAAGCTCAAGAAGAAACAACTTGGGCAAAAAAGAGGCAGTTTTCAACTCCCATGACTGACCTGCTTTGGGTGGGTCATGATCTGGGTGTTTGGCTGGTCACCAGGACCTGTCTGCTGGCCCTCCCCTTTTTTTTTTTTTAATTTCTGTGGTTTTATTTTTATTTTTTTTTAAAGATTTTATTTATTTATTTGACAGAGAGAGATATAGTGAGAGAGGGAACACAAGCAGGGGGAGTGGGAGAGGGAGAAACAGGCTTCCTGCTGAGCAGGGAGCCTGATGCGGGGCTTGATCCCAGGACCCTGGGATCATGACCTGAGCTGAAGGCAGACGCCTAATGACTGAGCCACCCAGGCGCCCCTGGCCCTCCTTCTTTTGGGCTGGCTTTATTCTCAGGCTCCGTGTGGTGGCCTCTGGAAGCCCCAGGCCCATCTGGCCATGACATTTTGTCCATTGGAAGAGAGTCTGCTTCTTGAGGGTCAGACCGAAGCTCCTGAGTGGCCTGCCATGGGCCACGTACCGGGGCTGTGCGTGTGCCGACTGGCCCAGTCCAGGCCTGGGTGCCCTCCTGTGGAGCTGGGGTGCGAGTTTAGGGAGGGTAGAGCCATCATTATCCAGAGTAGGAATGCCAAGAGTGGAGTGGGGTGGTACCCCTAGGAGGAGGTGGGGTATGGTTCCCAGGAGGAGGGTGAATGGGTGCTGGGTGCTAAAATGGCAGATGTCTGCTGCCCCGACCGCCCCAGTCTTGTTCTGAGACGTGTCGGTGTCCAGAGCAAAATTTGGTCTGAGGTCCTCCGGCTCGCCATGGTGCCAGGGGTTCTGGCTGATTTGGATGGGCAACGCAGGCAGATGTGGGCCCATGGTAGGCGGTTCCTCCCCAGCAGGCGCAGTATCTTCTGGTGTGCATCGCCGGTCCTTTTTCTTTTGCTCACCCCTGTATTTAGGTAGGAAGAACTCCCGCACAATGCTGCTGCCGCTGTTACAGAGGTTTCCAGAACAGGTTCGCGTCTCTCTCTTCCACACCCCTAACCTCCGTGGGCTTCTCCGGCTCCTGATCCCTGAGCGCTTTAATGAGACGATCGGCCTGCAGCACATTAAAGTGTACCTCTTTGACAACAATGTCATCTTGAGCGGGTGAGTTTGTTGCCTTCCATCAAGGGCTTCCCCTTAATATCGTCCAGGGTGGAGGTTAGCGGAACACAGAGAAGGAACGTGGTCATACGTTTCTAGTCTAGGTGTCGTACTGCCTCACTGTGTTCCGGTGGTTCTGGCTGTGGCCACCGGAAGCCCACCCGGGGTGCTCAGAAGGGAGCCCTGGCTTCTTGAGCACTTCCTGGATGCTAGCCACTCCTCTGTGCCTGGGTGTGCTGTCACAGGTCATCCTTGTGGGGACCCATGTAGTGTTTTCCTCACTTAGTGTGCAAGAGACTAGAGAGGACGAATGACTTCCTTAGGCAGAGCCAGGAACACGGAAGAAACAAGCCACAGAGCCACCATGACAGTCCAGGTCCTTTTGATTCTGAAACTTGGGCCCTGGAGATGAGCCCCGGGGGCAGTTGGCTTTATGAGTGTCATTCTTCTCCCAGCTGATTGTCACCCCAGGGGTGGGGCTCTGTGGCTCCCGCCTTTGTGTCACCTCATGCCACTTGTGCCTCGTATGAGTGGCCACGCTCAGGGTCTGCTGCCGCCGTGGGGTCCTGACCTGTGTTTGTCAGCGCCCTGCTCCCGCTTATTCCCAAGCACCCGCTGTCGCACCCTCCAGCCTAAGTCCTCACCTGCCTCTTTCTTCCCTGCAGCGCGAACCTGAGCGACTCCTACTTCACCAACCGCCAGGACCGCTACGTGTTCTTGCAGGACTGCCCCGAGATTGCGGACTTCTTCACGGAGCTGGTGGACGCAGTGGGGGACGTGTCCCTGCAGTTGCAGGGGGATGACACGGTGCAGGTGGTGGAGGGGATGGTGCACCCTTACAAAGGTACGGTCCCGGGCTCTGCTGCCCTCCCGAGCTTGTGGGCGGGGGTGAGGGCTGGGGGGAGCGCACCTCTAGGAGTCTTGCTGCGGGCTGGCGAGACTCGGGTGGCAGAGCCTCATTCTGCTTTTGTCTCTGAGGCCAGACAGAGGTGACTCACTGGCCACCAGTCATGCTCTGTGTGTCCAGGGAAGGTGGGAGTGTGGGCTTCGGCCTGGGCCTGGGGGAGGGAGCCGGGGGCCTGCCCGACACTTACAGGAAGTAGCCTGCTGACTGACTGCCCTCCCCAGGGCCAGTTCCCCAGTGGGGAGCACCGAGGCTCTGTGGCTCTCAGCTCCGCTGAGGTCTGTGGCCTCCTGCCTGGAAAGTGAAATGGGAGAGCCCTCAGCTCTGCTCCCTGGAAACAGGCAAACCCTGGCAACTAGTGTTCCTGGGGGCATTTGCATTCCTGTGATTCCTGTGGCTTCCTGGTGGCCTTTGGGAAGGCCTGCTGCTGAATTTGCAGTAGTGTCAGCAATGTGGGGAGGGGTAGACCCTGACCTTATAAGGAGAAGAGCCCCTGTCCTGGAGCCAATATGTGATTGGGGTACCTGCCCTGCCTGCTGCCAGCCTGGATCCTCAGTTACTATTATGATATTTTGAATTTTTATCAATAAAAAATTTGTGGAAATTTGTCTTCTCTCATTATATGAGTGCCTGTGTATTATCCTCAATTTTGTTGTTTGGTTCGCAAAGCCTGAAATACTTAGTATCTGGCCCATACAGGAAACACTGGCCAACCCCTGGTCTAACTTTACAGGCCAGGCATGAATGTGTGGAGAAGTAGACCCCACGTTCTGGGAAGGATGAGTCAACATGCTCAGGGGGCAGGTAGGGGCGCCTGGGCAGGCGCAGATGTACTCAGGGGACCAGGGTAACTCAGAAGGAGCGAACAGATGCAGGGGACACTCGTGACACTCAGAAGGACAGCCTGAGACATGGGGCCGGTGGCTGCCTCCCCCCCCCCGTGGGTGCTGCTGTCAGGGAGGGAGGGTTCGCACAGGCCATCCCTTCTCCTTGTCCCGGAGCCCACCCCCAGAGGCCCTCACATGTGGCCCTGTCCCCAGCTGTGAGTGTGTGAGTGCGTCCTGTCCTGTTGCTCTTTGATTCTGGCTCAGCCTTCCCCGAGACTTGCTGTTTGCTCAGCTTCCTGGAGGGCCAGCTCTGGGCAGCGTGGACATTCTCTGTTCTCCCATGATTGTCATTCTGTGAACTTTGCTCTTTGCCTGCTCCCTGCTCACACTGTGCTTTTGGTTTTATCCTCACTTCTCGGGTTGGATGCTGGCTCGTTAGTGTTCAGGCTTGTCTGCTGATAGCACTTATGGTCATTTCTCGTCCGTCCAGTGTGTCTGGACAGCTACTTGTCTCCAGTGTCTTGTGTAGACATGCAGGGTCCCAGCCTGCCTGTCCACGTGCTGCACCTTGGGGGCCCCGCTCCCACTGTCCCACCACGTGGCGCTTGCTCAGCCCACAGTTGTGCCCATGTTTTGTGGCTCACACTCACATGTACCTTTATTGTTAAACCTTCTCACTGAAGTACATGCTGAACACCACCCGTAGGCGTGCAGTTCACATGCGTATGCCTCGTGGGCCCGCTCCTGGAAGCGCCCTCTGGTCCCCTCTCAGGCCCTGAATCCCAAGGTTCCACTCCCTTGATTTCTGTTGCCCTCATGTAGTCTGGCCTGTTTTTGAACTTTGTAGGGGCGCCTAGCTGGCTCAGTTGGATTCATGGTAGAGCAAGCGACTCTTGGTCTTGGGGTCGTGACACACGTTGGGTGTGGAGATGACTTTAAAAAAATCTTTAAAAAAATGAACTTTTCATAAATGGAACTGGTAGAGGCCTTTTCATGTTCCTTGGTGCAGGCTCTTCGTGGCCTTGCCTTGGATGTTGATATCCACGGAGGAGCCTTGCTTGGAGCCTGGGGCCAGTGCTCCATCGAAGCATGTCCGTAGATGGTCAGTCAGGGCATCTGCACTTGCCTGTCTGTTGCCATGTCCCCGTGCAGGCAAGAGTCCAGAGCCTCCACTTTTCCTCCTTCACCCTTCCCTCCCGTGTGTCCCCACAGGTGACCGGGCTGCATACTGCAGGGCGGCCAACAAGAGGGTGATGGATGTGATCAACTCGGCCAGGGCCCGCCAGCAAGTGTTGCATGCCCAGACCTTCCATGGTGACTCCCTCTTGACTCAGGAGGACGCAGCAGCTGCCGGGGACCGGAGGCCAGCCCCTGATACCTGGATTTACCCATTGATCCAGATGAAGCCTTTTGAGATCCAGATTGACGAGATCGTCACGGAGACCCTGTTGACAGAGGCTGAGCGAGGAGCCAAGGTCTATCTCACCACTGGCTACTTCAACCTGACCCAGGCCTACATGGACCTGGTCTTGGGCACGCGGGCCGAGTACCAGATCTTGCTGGCCTCCCCAGAGGTGAACGGCTTCTTCGGAGCCAAGGGGGTGGCGGGGGCCATCCCGGCCGCGTACGTGCACATCGAGCGACAGTTCTTCAGTGAGGTGTGCAGCCTGGGGCAGCAGGAGCGGGTCCAGCTGCAGGAGTACTGGCGGAGGGGCTGGACGTTCCATGCCAAAGGTATGCAGTTAGCCCCGGGCCCTCGTTAGCGCCGGGCCGTCCTCCTCTCTCGTCCTCCCGGCAGCCATGTGCACATGCCACCTGTTTGAGAGTTTCAGTTGTCCACATTTCTCCCTCTCGTGCTCCCAGAACTTAACACAGATGACGTGGGTGGCTGTTTCAGGAAGTGTGCATGGAACTTCTCGGGGCGGGGCGTGGAGAGGCCCCTACCATTGCCTTCCCTGGTCAGTGGTCTCCCCTGCATCGGCTGGGCCCTTTTCAGGGACAGAGGATGTGTTAGGGATGAGTTATTTGGTATTAAACATCCTGGTTTTTCAGTCTTTCCCTCCGCACTGTGGTTCTTTTTCCTCTGTGTGAATCCTCCGCTTTTTTTCATGGTTGAGGAAGTCGAGGCCACATCCTTTCTGTTCTGAGCCGTACGGCGCTGCCCATACGTGGGTCATGGTCTGAACTGCATGTGGGTTACGATCCCCACAGGCATCGGCATCCCTGGGGCAGCCCGCACATGCCATAATCCCAGGGCCGAGGTCTGAGACGGGGATAAACGGGTTTAAAACCTTGTGCTGAGCAGAGGGATTATCCCCGCTGCCGCTCGCTATTTTGAGGGCACCTGCCTCTGGGGCGGAGTCACTCCTGATGCTCCAGGGGCCACACGACCGAGCTGCTTAGTCCTGTGGCTGAAGAAAAGTGACTGGCGCAGAGAGCCTCTGGCCATGGGTGATGTGTGTGGTTTTTCTGGCTTCTCTTTGGTGGTCAGAGGCTGTTTTGCTCCTGGGCTGGTCCTGGAGTCTTGCGGAAGGGCTGATGGAGGAGGGGGTGGTGTTCTCTCGGTCTCTGGTCTCTGCCTGGGAGTCCAGGCTGCAGACAGCCATGGCCACTTGTCTGCGTTGTTTAGATCTGAGGTCATTTTGGGATCATTGGGTGGGTGGAAGTCTTTTTTTCCCTTACATCGGTGGTTTTCACCTGGGGATATGTTAAAAGAAACACTAAAGCCCAGACTGCCCTCCTCGGTCTCTTGAATCCAGCTCTCTGGGGACAAATCCAACACGGTATTTTTTTCAAAAAACAAAACAAAACAACTCCCCAGGAGTTTCTGAGGTCTTAAGAATCACTGATATAGCTTCTGGCCTCTCTGGTGGTTCCTACTTCCTGCTGGGAGGCCCACTGCCTGGGCAGGTGGCATTGTTGGGTGTGGGAAGTGAACTACCTCATTGTGCTGTTGGGCTGAGCCAGGCAGGTGGTCAGATGCCTCAGGGCGGGTAGGGCTAACCAGTGAGGAGGTGTGGAAAGTATTTTAGGATTGGTTTTTTTCCTTAACATATTGCATTATTTGTTTCAGAGGTACAGATCTGTGATTCAACAGTCTTGCACAATTCACAGTGCTCACCATAGCACATACCCTCCCCAATGCCTATCACCCAGCCACCCCATCCCTCCCACCCCACCCCTACTCCAGCAACCCTGTTTGTTTCCTGAGATTAAGAATTCTTCATATCAGTGAGGTCATATGATACATGTCTTTTTGGTTTTTTTCCTTATGAGAATAGCGAAGGTGCCTGGGCACGCGGTATTGAAGACCGAGCTGAAAGGTGGGGGAAGCTTTGTTCTTTGGAGGGGACATGTGTCTAGGGAGCAGTGCAGGGGACGCCTAGATAGCGCTTCCTCCTCGTCCGTCCTGGGGCACTTGGGGGCCCCCCAGCTCAGCCTGGCCTGATGGTTCTGATAGGGCTGTGGGTTATTTCCCTGAAGCGGGCAGTACTGATAAGTGAGCAGTGACCGCCCCCCCCCATTTACCGTTGAAACAGAAACACTCAACCGGCTGTTCCAGTGTGGCTCGCCTATTCCCGGACGGGCATGCTTCTGCCCCGCCCCAGGTGGGGCCTTGCACTTTGGGAGCACTGGATTAGTGGGGAAGGCCAGGAATCCCAGGGCACGTGTGCCTGTGTGTGTGTGTGTGTATGTGTGTGTGTATGTATGAGAGTGTGTGTGTGAGAGAGAGAGGGAATGGGGGGTGTGGTACGGGAGCAGGGGGGCCAGGAGTCAGAGGTCAGAGGTTGGTCAGTGCTGAAGTCAGAGGCCAGGGTCCTTTCCTGTGATTGAGATCGATAGTGGGGGGGGGTCCTTAAGTCGGCCCCCTTTTCTGGTTCATTCCTGGGTGCTCATTCTCCCCAAAGCAGCTTAGGAGAGGAGCAGGCAGCCCAGGTGGTGGCTGGGGTGGATGGTTGGATTTACTGACTGTCTACTCTCTGCAGGTGGTGTATCTGTTTATTCCTGCTGATGGCTGAGCACCCGATACCCTGATGGCCTTACCCACACTCCTGCAGTGCAGGCCTGACTTATCTCGGCTCCCAGTGCCCCCATAAGCCCTTGGTGAGGAGAGTGAGCCGGGATCCTGTGTTCGCAGCGTCCACATCCTTGTGGCTCTAACAGCACTGCGCACCACCCCTGCAGTCAGTCAGGGAGGGACT